ACATGATCATTATTATAATAATTAAAAAAATTCACCATTCTCTTATTTTATTTTTTTAAAGAGGATTGATCACTTCATTCAACTTCGTCGTTATCCTATTTTAAAGAAGAAGGAACCTACAAACTGAGGGGAATTTTGGTCCTCTATATTTTCTTCCTTTTCAATTTAGTATCGTCTATTATATTTTTTAATGCCAAGACACTCTTTTCTATCTTTAATCCTGTGCGTCTTAAACGTAGATAATTTGCCAAACAAAAAAAATCAGTCTTTTTGTTTGTTTTTTAGGTTTAAAACAATTTATCCCTTTTTTTTTAATGAATTTATCCGTTTTATAATAGTTAATTATAGAAATAAATGAAATTTAAGTTATTATTTTTTATCTTTGATAAAATATTTATTATCTTATATATTTTTATTTTTAAGATAATAGTTTTCTAATTCTTTGTAGACAAATATTCTATTTTTATTTTATAGTTTTTTTGTGGAAATAATTATATTTTTTCTCCTTTTAAATAAAATATTTAAATATAAACTATTTCTCTTTTAATAATTTTTATAATATATTGTTATTATTATTATTTTAAAAGATACACATAATTACATTTATAATCAAATAATATTATTAGTCTCTCAATTATATTCATTTGCGAATTAAAAATTAAATATTAACTTTTCATAATGTTACGAGTTAGGAACATTATATAAGAATTGCACAATTTTTAATTTTGAAGCGAATTGTAAATGTTTTCTTTTTCATCAGTATATTACTCTCTCTCTCTCTCTTTTTCTGGTTTTTTTTTTTATTAGCATAGTTTATCAGGCTTTAACATGGTTCTAGTTCTAGCATCGATCACACAAATTTAGGCACACCACTAAGAAAATTTGACCATATGAAAAATTTGAGAAAACAATTTTCGGTGACATGTAAAATGACATTTGTAATTTTGATATTTAAAAGAAGGATTATTTTTTTTTGTATAAATATATTTTTTATTATATATTTTCTAATTTTTTAAAAACACATAATTATAAATATTTTATATGAAACTATTAATTGTAGTATGTTTTTAAACTTGGTATGAAAAAGTCATATTTGGAATGTAAAAACTATAATTATTGTTTATTTTTTTCATGTTCGAGATGTGAAAATCACAATTGTAATGTGAAATCAAACAAACTAAATGTTTGTTGGACGGATTTTTTTTATACATATTTTCACTTTGAGTCTGATTATTCTTGATTTTTTGATTTTTTATAAGCAATATCTGAACTAAAAGATGGCAAGAAGTTGATTGTAACACCAAGAATAACATTATTTTTTTATTTAAATATTTTTTCCTTTGCATTTAACAATTTGATATATTAGTTGGTTAAAATTATTGGTTTGATCTTGGAGATTTCTTCTCATCTTTATTTTTAGTTGATACAACTTTATTTTCAAACAAAAATAGACTAATCAAAGATTTAGACACATAAATACTCATGAACTTATCCCACAAGATTTTTTGTGTTGTCTCCTTTAATATGTTGCACTTAATTTTAGGATCATGAGGTAACTGAATTGTGCTCATAACCTTTTATTATTAACATTTAAGTTCATTCTCTCATTCATAGTAGTCCATTTTTCATTTTCAAAGCTTGACCAAAACTTCATTACACTAAAAGGTTTTGAATTGTATATTATCAAATCATAAAATGTATTTTTTCATCAAACAAGATCTCAATCTTTTGTGTGTTTTTGGGTGTAATTTTGATACCATTGTTGTAAAACCTCTATGCTCATAATAAAATTATTCATATACATAGGTTTATATTTCTTATAAAACTAAATTGTGATATATAATTCAAATGTTATCATCTTTCTAAAAAAAATCAATAAAATATTTAAATCTAAACAATATCATAATGACATGAAACATAACAAATTTTCAAGATAACTTCTCTCAAATTCAAATCAATCTACTTTACAAAACCAGTTCGATTATCTAATCTATTTTTATTAAGTAATGGGTTTGATTTTTAAAAAAAAGATCGATCCATATATGATTATAAAATAAATAATTATACTACATTGAATTGACCCAATTTAAAAAAATCTAATCCATATTTTTAAAAAATTGAATTGATTCACTTTATAAAATAAATGGTTAATCAATTCACTTTTATAAAATGGATCAGTTTGATTCAATTTGAATTTTTCAAAAAATCCAATATATAAACACCATAACTGTAAACTCTAAAAATTATCATAGCTTAATATGCCTCAAGTATCAAAGTGTTTGCATGTGAGAACTATCACGATAGAACTCTATTAACCCTTTATTCATCCAAAAATATTACTTCGCACTCACTCATCCAATCAAGTTATACTCATATACACTGTTCTAAAAGAACACAAAGTAGATAAATTACTTTAAATTTTATTTTTGACAAAACTTATATGAATTTTCATAAGTACTTTTGAAGTTATTGTTTAATTAAAGTTGAAATTTCATCTTAATAATTTACATAATAAGGATTTCATTAACCATCAATATTGAACTAACAAAGTGTGATATGGTTAGTAAATAAGTTTGTCCTTTAAGCACGTGGTTAGAAATTTGATTCTTGCATCATGTATAGGGAAAAAAAAAAGTTGTTAGGAGAGGTCAACCTCTTAAATAGATATTAAAGAAGTTTAATCCTTCTCTTGACTAAAGGATAGTTTTTTTTTTTTAAAATCAATATTGATTATTGAATCCAATCTTTATTGAAAAGGAAAAAAAACAGTTAAAAAATGTCTAAATATGCTTTTATTTTAATCTCCAATTCCCTCTATTATTATTGGATATCATAATATACTACCTCGGGTTCTAATCATAAACAACACAGGACAAATCATTAACATTAACAAAAAATAATTAATATAATTACTTTTAATTATTTATCATAAATTTAAGTTTCGTTCCAAATATACTATTTACTTTAAGTGGTTGTTACATTTAATGTTAGTTGTAAGTGAATACGTAGTAAATAGAGTTAATAATAAATGAATGGTATAAAAGATATTTAACCTTAAGTAATTTTAAAAACTGATGATTTGTTGCTTATAAATAAGACCAAAGAAAAATTTAATTTGTTACTTATAATAAGGATTGGAGATAGTATTATTTGTATCTTTTTTCTTTTTCTTTCCTTCAAACTAAATTACCTTTATTTCCTTTCTATTAAATTAAACTACTACCTTTGTTCCTATAAAACAACACATAAATATTTAATTTACTAAGATTAAGAAAAGTAGTTAATTTAGTAGATAACAATAAATTCATTTTTTTTTAAACTACCCTTGTTGAACTTTTATTTCTCTTAATAAATATTCATGTATCTCTTTACCAATTAAAATGCACAGTCTATACTACTTATCTCATAATTAATACTATTATTTATCCTCATGACCAATTAAAATACATATATTTTAAAGAGTCTATAATTAATGCATTTCATCAAATTAAAAAATATATTTTAATTAGAGATATTTTAGTCTTAAAATAATTAATACATCAAATATTATAAATTAAATCTCATATAAAGAAATAAATAATTATTTTAAACTATATTTTATAAATAGGAAAAGAAGTAATAAATAAGAACACTTTCCATCCACACATTATTAGATTTCTTGCAAGATTTCCTTCGGCCGCGAAACCCCCCCGGCCGCGAACCCCTCCGACCGCGAAACCCGCCCGCGCGCGCGAACCCCTCTAGCCGCGAACCACTCTGCTCGCAACCCCTCTGCCCGCGAACCTCGTCCGCCGGTGACCCCTCAGCCTCCGCAACCCCTCCGCGCGCGAGTGAAGAGAGTGAGTGGAGCGTGAGTGAAGAATGAGACATTGAAAGACGTTGAGAGTGAAAGAGTGAAAAGTGAGACATTGAGACGTGCATAAAAGAAAAAAAAAAAAATAATAAACAAAACAAAACATGATGTCAAAAATTTATCATAAAGTGTAATGTGAGGTATCAAAAAGTGTAGTATGAATTGTAAAAAAAATAAGGATGCTTATAAGCAATTTTTATTGGAACAAAAATTGAAAATATTATATAAGTTACTTATGAATAACGTGGCACAGTAAGACTCATTTAAAATGGTTGAGAATTACTTATAAATAACTCTCTCTTGGCACAATAGTTATATGATTTGTTTTAACACCCAGAAAGTCAACCTGTTACTCTTATGTCTAATTATCACATGTAAAAATAATATTTAATTCACAGAAATCACACACGCACTTCCCACAAACACAAATTAGTCTTGATTGTTAGTTTTAAAGTATTGTGTAAAAAAGACCGATTTTCAAAAAAAAGAAAAAAACTTTTCCAATATATTTATTCCAAACAAAAATTAGTAAATTAGGTTATTTTATCAATTTTAACCATAATCAATAATATAAAATCACGTTCATCTATACTCAATTACATCAACACTTGTCTAAATACACACTTACCCGCAAAATACTTGCAAGTCACGCAATTATATCAACACTTGTCTAACTACACACTTACCCGCAAAATACAAGCAAGTCACGTATAGTATGAAAGTTTATTTTAGAAAAATTGTTTTTCAACTTTTAAACCAATCCCAAAAGTGCTGTTATTGAAGAGACAAACTTGAATAGCTTAAATATACCCTATACGTCTCGGTATAACAGCAGGTTAGAGTTATCTCAATATAACTGGAGATTTAGGTTTTTATTGGGTACACAGGGAGAGATTTAGATTTTTTTATATACATATTGAGAATAATAATAAATAATAAATACATTATTTTAATATAATTTGACTAAAATAATCTCCCTCTCTCAAATGCATTAATACTAATATAATTCATAGGAAACAAATTTGAAAAACAATTAATATTACATTAAAAACGGAAAACTTAATTTATTTGAATAAAATAATTCAAATATTAGGGAGTAAAAGAGAAAAAAGAAGGGAGAAACGGCGACGATGCCATAGCCGAAGAATTGAAAAAATGAAAAGCGAAAATCAATGCTGAAATACCTCGTTGATGCAACCAACATCATCCTAAAATGCTGTTAATGGAATAAGACCAACTTTATACAATGGCTGAGATAACATGAAACTCTGTCAGTGCTGAAATAAAAAGGATGACGAGAGAAGTACAAGGGTCCCGATTTATCCATTTATCCATATGCACTATTCAGTGGGAGCTAAAGGACACACGAGAGAGAAACAATAAGACACAAACGTCCTCAAAAAGCTGCTGGCAGGGTGGGGATAATTAGACTCAGACATCTGCCGCAGGCGAATCAAATGATGGTAGAAGCCAGCCCTTGGCCTGAGCATGCTCCACATAGAAGCTAAATTTCTCCTTTGCGTTTGGAATGTCCAGAGCCAGATCATCAAGACCATCCTTTATACGGGTGAAACCTTTAGTCATCTGATTAATGGTGATCAGGCCCTCACTGAAGAATTCCTGCAGTAGATCTAGCATCCGATCATTCTTTTTCTCCATGGCCATAATCAAAGCTTTCTTCACTACCTCATGGTTAAAGAAAGCCATTCCCAAGTCACGGATACACTGGCATGCTTCACTCACAACCCCACCACTTTCGTACTCCTCCAACAGCTTCATGATCTTGTCCTTAGCATCCTCCACAGCCCATCCAGTCCCTCCACCCCAGCATCTCAATAGCCTCTCCCCAGCATGACGAGCAGCAATGAGTGATCGAGCCATGCGCACGGTTTCGCTGCCACTGCATTTTGGTGGTAACCTGCTGCCAATTTCTTCCAAATTCAGCGGGGCCAATACATCATCAATAACAGCTCGAGCTAAAAACAGAGCAAGCTCTTTTGAAGCATCCAATATATCCAGTGCTGTATCTTCTGCATTTTCCAGAAGCATGACAAAACCGTTAACTATATCCTCCGTTGAGAAGATCTCTATATGAAGAGCAGATAGCAGTACAGATGCCATTTCCTTTTCTCTGTTCTTTCGGTCCATAGCAAGAGTTATTAGCTTCTTCAAAAATATTGGGTTGTATTCAGGTGCTCCAAGATCTTCAAGACTTCGAATCAGTTCAGGAATGTCATCAGAAAGAAAATATTCATGAATGATAGTTACAGCTTCCTTTTTGTACTTCCTCACTTTCTCATCTTCAACTTGGATTTCCCCATCTTCAGCTGCAGGTTTGGTAAGTGAAGCATCAAGCCATCCTTCAGATATTGCCTTGGGGACAAATGACTGAAACAAGGCTTTGGCTGATGGAATATCAAGAGCAAGATCATCTAGGGATTCTGCCAAACGAGAAAACCCTTTCACCATCTGGCTGGAACTAACAAGCCCTTCTTCTGCTGCTTCTTTTAATAACTTCAACATTAGAGGTTCTGCTGAACGAATCTCCATGGCAAGTATCAGAGCCCTCTTAACAACCTCATGATGGAAGAATGAAACCCCTAACTCACGTATACACCTACAGGCTTCCAATGTGTCACCACTATCCACATATTCTCTAAGTAAATCAGCTATCTTCTTCTTCACTTCCTCAACAGTTATGTGAGTGCTACCACCCCATCGCCTTTCCACAAGTTCTGCATGGTGTGGTGCAGAGAGATAACTCTTTTCAGCAGTCTGGATTACCTGAACTCCCTTTGAAGATTCTGGAAGAGCCTTCTTTGCCCTGGTAAGAAAAGCTGGAGGAAGAATATCATCAACAACAGCACGTGCCAAGAATAATGCAAGAATGTCAACTGCATCCAGTATATCCACAGCAAGATCATCAGCAGATTCAAGAAGCATAAAAAACCCGTCCCTAATCTGTGCAGGACTGATGACATCAGCATACAATGCTGAAAGCAGAACAGAAGCCATCTCTTTCTCCTTATCATGCCTGTCCATTGCCATGGACACAAGGCGTTTGATGAAGTATGGATAGTATTCACTTGAGCCAAGTTCTCTGAGGTCAGATGCTGCCAATTCGACATCCCCATTACTGAAATATTCTTCTATGATGGATACCACTGCTTTCTTGAATTCATCCAAGGGGTCAGTCACAGTAGATCCAACCAGCTGATAAGGTTCCTGTAAAAAGCAAGAGTGTGTAATAGTCACAAAAATAATAATAGAAAACATAAAGCAGGCAACAAATACAGTTTAAAAGAAATTAAATTAAAAGGAAAGAAAGAACTACAGTCTACTCTGCTATTACAAGCATTTATCAAGTTAGCAGCTAGTGTTACATGACAAATGTTGCCAAAAACTACCAACAAACCAGGGGAAGATAACTTACCTCACCGCTGTCATAATTTGGATCATTTCGGTCTATGTGAGAAATAATATCTGTATCAAGCAATTTTCCCCAGGTGCCTTTACCACCAGCACCATCTGCATCCCCAAGATAAAAAACATCAAATTCTCAAATGAAGACCATTATAAACCCAAAAGCAGATACCACCATTAGACATTGATATTTCAAGAGAAAGCTGCATAGCAAGGAAAGCTCAACATCACCAACTAGAATCTTAATCTTGAACCCAAAATAAAAAAAAACAAAAATCATCAGTCAGAACCACAAAAAATTTACTTGGTCATATCATGCAGACCTGTTTTAATTAGTTCATAAAAGTCAACATAGGTACTTTGCATGATATGCATACCAAACAGATTAATGAACACTTTTGGGAAAAGTTATTTCTGGGAAAATAATCTTTTATCTCCCTAAAAATGCTGGGTAAAAAGATTAATTTCCCAAAATAAGAATAATTCAAACATGTAAAACTATAGGCTGAATACATGGTTGAGTCCACATGCCAGTTCTGTTTAGAAGAAATGCTCGTAACACGCTATTTTGAACACATTATTTATTATCGGTTGAAATTTATTAGAAATCACAAAATTATATTAGCCTCACTCCTTGTTTAACAAGTTCCAACAAAATTCAATTTTCAACCAATAGTAGAAAGTATATTACAAGTGCGTCAGAAAGTGTATTGCTAGCACTTCTCTTAGATCAAAAAGCTTAATATAATGAAAATTAACAAAATATAAAATATAAAATAAAAAAAAAAACACAAGGGATATAAAAGATTATCAAAGTAAAATGCAATAGCCAGATTTAGTAACTTCTGAATGTAATTGCAATATATTTTTTTCATTGTTAAAAGCTAACAAAAATCCAATCTTGTGTTGCATTCATATATGCCTTGCAATCAATAAGAATGGCACCATGTAAGCAGGAAAAAATTTTGCTATAAGAAAATAGTTAACTAGGCACTTCACTTTTGAAATTAGTGCACAACCTTCCACCTTCAAAAATGATGGGAAGCCAGCCAACTCTCATAAATCACAGGCCCAGTTCCCAATCAATACCCTAATACTAGCAGCCATTTACCAATCACCATATATGATGCAATAATAATTAACCTCAATAGAGCTACCCTGGCTAGACAAAACTTCTATCTATATATTGGTTCTCATAGGTGAGGCTAAATCATGCCACGCAGATCATAACATTGTTAAATTCGACATTCTACCAACCTACAGTCATAATTCCAAAAATTTCATAGAGGACCAGCAAGCAAATATGCAATATTTGCAAAGAAAAAAGTAAACCATTAGCTTCATGCAACGAGCAACAGTTAAAAAATTACTCATCTCCCCAATTAGCTAAATCCAACAAAAATTTGAAGATCCAAAAACCGGTTGACCAATTGTCTGAGTACATATTAAACTTTCTTCTAAAACCATCTCAATAAACCAAACAGCCTAAGCATATCTATTTCATGTAACTGGCTCAACAGAGCATCACACAAGTGATACACATAGCATAGATAATCCATCCAGTATAAAACATATGAAGGACACCAACTCACCCTTCTTCACCCGTACATACTTTCCCGAGTGTGACCGACGCACATGCCGCACAGCTATCCCTGCGGTTTGTGCCTTACCACCAGCAGGGGCTTTTACATGATGGTCAGCAAGCAACGACGACGGAGACTTCGGCGATGAAGACAGATTCTCCGCATTTTGACTAGCAATTTTTAGCAACTCCCTCTGCCCATCGGTCAGAAACCCCTCACTCGAAGCCATTTACACAAAGCGCAAAAACAAGCCAAACCTACAGACACGTTCACCAGTCAAGTCCACTACTTCGTCAATAACAGCGTAACTCAAAATACAATGCTATATTAAGCGCGCTACAGTTCAAAACCACTGCAATTTCCCCCAGCGAATTAAAAACACTCTCAAACACAAACGAAACCAATGCACATAGCCAAATACGAAATATGCTTTGACTCTAATAATAGCAGATAGAAAAACATTATGAAAAACTACATCTCTAAGGCTCAAGCATTTTCAGCTTTGCCACGCGTCACTTAACACTGTAAGCACAAAACACAGCGCCTCGTTTTACTTCCAAGTCCAAACATAACAGTAACAGCATGCCAATAAATCACATCGCCAAATAAAATGGAAAGAAAAACGCAAAAGAGAGGTGAAGAATACGAACCGGTGACTACAAAATGCAAATCAGAATCGGATTCCTCTGTGCTTGGCCCGGATCTCGAGCCAAGACAGGAGAAGCAAGCGGATTGTATGAATCGAAGCGAGGGACGGTGTCGCGTAGAAGATCGGGAGAGGAAGGAAGTTGGGAAGTAAAACCCTAAACGAGGAGGCGGCGTTGTGCGTTCAATCGGAGTGAGTGTGAGGAAGTGAATCGGTGGAAAGTGAGAGGCGAGAGAGAAGAGAAATGGATGAGAACGAAAAAGATTGGCTGCCAAAAGAGAATGTTTATATAGGGAGGCTACGGTTACCTGTACACGTCACCAATGGGCGAGGTTTTTGGGTTTGGGCCTATAATTCTATTCAACTATTCCCTCTGTTAAAAAAATAAAATAAAATCTCACGTATATTTTAAAAAAAAAAAAAAATAGTTCTTGGCTTTAAATTTTAGATAAATGAAATGGAGTTGAAATTTGTTTATATTAAAAATAGATATATATTTATTTAATATTTATGTAATAATAAAAGAAAGTAAGTATTGTTGTTCCTTTTCTTTACACGTGGCCTTGGCGCGAGAGGCTAATCCCAATCTTAATCATGTGCCACCCATGCCCTCGTTGTTGTGCTCTGATTATGAACCCTAAACCTATGCTTACCTAGTGCCTTCCCTAGGATCCTCGCCGTTGTCCGGGAACATCTACTGTTACGTATTTTTGTTTTCACAAGGAGTCGTGTTCTACTGGTATACGCGTATATACATACGTACATCCCCATTTTCTAAGGAATCATGTGAATGACAATGCATAATGATATTATATACTATTTAAGTATATTGTTAGAAGTTTAATCAATTAGTTGTATATAAAAAATAATATCTAGTCAGTAAAAATTATATATGAATATAAATTAATTTTAAATTATTAATTTTATATATATATATATATATATATATATTTTTTTTTTGTTATAGTAAAATTATGTTTGATATTAAAATATAATTATATGAATGACAGTTAGAACTAAAAAGAATCTTTATTATTATAAATAAATAAAAAAACTACAAAAAAGCATTATCAATAAATTTATCTCTACGTATTAAATTTTATTATTTTTACTCTTTTATTTGAATGTGTTACAATTTTATACGCTTATTTATATTATAATTCAAGCAACACAAATCTTCCATCATAAATGATTAATATTAATTTGATGGATGAATTATAATTATTTATTAAATGCAAAAATCATTTCGAGTCACACTTTTGTATTTTTTATATATATATATATCAAATTATTTTGATGAGTAAAAGAACAAAAGACTTGGAGCATAAAAGGCTTAAGTATTTTTTTTAAATGCAGGATCACTTTCTGTTAAAAACACATTTTAGTTGGCTAAAGGCTTTCATCATCTCACGTTCATATGATAATTTTAAAAAATACTTTTAGTCCCTCAAATTTAAAATAAATTTATTTTTAGTCTCTAAAATTAAAAATTAAATTTTTTAATTTTTATAATTTCAAAAAAAAATTGTTTTAATCTTTATATTGATATTTTGTTAGAAAATTTGTCAAATATTATTATATATTCCTACTAATAAAAATATCACATTAAACTCATTTAATACTGTATATTTATGAGTTAAAAAACTTAAAATAATTTTTTTAAAAATTATAAGATTAAAAGTAAGAATTTTAAATTTGAGAAATTAAAAATAAACTTATTTTAATTTTGAGAAAGTAAAAACATTAAAAAATACAATTGAACCAAGTATATTGGAACTATGTTCCTGGATTCAACAGGCAAGTTTGGAATTTTCAAACTTGGTTGCGTGGCCTGTTTGACGAACCAAGTCCGTTATTCTTTTAACATAGTGAAGTCGTGCATTTACCCTTAAGGCATTATTGATGTTTTAAGTCTCCAAGTTTTAACAAACTCATTTCATTTCATGATTTGGGGTGAAATATTTTGAGTCTCGCAGTTCTAGCTAACTCGTTTCATTTCATGAAATACAATTGAAAATGTTCAATAACTATATCGAACAAAACTATTGATTCACCTAATTGAATTAGACTAAAAAAAAGTTAACTATTTTAAATGAAAATTTAACTAAACTAAACTATATTTTAGTTCAATTTTATACAATTAAGCTATTGTAATAATTAATTTTTTTATCATAATATTAAAAAAAAATCTAACTATTTTATCAGAAACTAGTCTCTCTTAAAACTTCGATTGTATTAAAATTATCTCTCTCAACGTTATTTTTTTTAATCAAATTCAAAATTCGTACTCAAAATCTTGATATTTGAAAACTAATTACAACATGAGTCAGAACACGAATATTTATTTATAATAATTAGTTTAGTGCCCTATGATGATTAAACTACACTTTTTTTTTAAGGACGACGGAGACAAGGAATGAAGACGAGAAAGACATCCACAGAGGAAGAAGAGAGTGAAAACAATTTAAAAAGTGAAAAAAATAACGAGGATCGATTTCTATTAAGGATTCTACAATTGAATAAATAATAAATAATCTTCTACAATGGTTATTAAACAACTGATATATAATCCTTAATATACACCGATTGTTATGTCAACAATCGTAGAATGACTAAATTCACATCCATTGTTGTATAACCCACATAATAGAATTCACGAAATCTAAAAAATGTCCCGTCTTCTACTTTGTTGGGTGCGACATTATGGGACACTACCGACGTAGATATGACAACGTGGAACACTTTTTTCACTAATGATTTTTTAGTCCACTCTTTCAAAATGACTTAAGAAATAAATATGAATTTATACCGTATATAGGGCGTAAAAAATTGTGTGACAGGTGATTTTTCCGCTATACTTATAACTTAAAACATTTTTTTTAGTCAAAGTATGAAATATTCATCACCAAAAGTCCATGACTAATCTCTAGAACACACAAGATGAATTTTCTCCTCTCAATATAATTTATTTCAAGATTCAAACTCTAAACAACTTAGATTAAGAAAAATAAATTACTACCACTTGATGACAAATCTCCAAAGCATACAAAAGATGAATTTTCTCCTCTCAATATAATTTATTTTATATTTAAAGTTAAGATTCAAACTCTGAACTTGATTAAGAAAAACAAATCACTACCACTTGTATCATTCAGTGTTAATCCTAAAAAAATTGAACTTCAACCAAACTCAGTGAATAAACTCGAGTAATCAGTATTACTTTATTACATTTTAATTAAAATGACAATCTCTAGCACTGTCAGCGAGTTAATTGTGGATACCCAGATAATGACACAATAATAGGGGTATTATTTCGATGCTTTGTGGCTAGTGATATCTCTCCCTATGTTGATTAGCATTCAACCAAACTTCTTGACATTCATTAATGCGTTAATTACGTTAGCCTGATACCAATGGATGTGTAAATAATGCCTTTTTTTCTTGTATTTACAATTTATTCCTGGAATAGGAACTTTGGGGTGCTTGTGCATGTTGTAAAATCGTAAGGAACACGTAATAGTTTTGCTGAATCAGAAACTAGGCTATGTTGCATTAGCTTGAATAAGCATCCCAAGAAAAATCTAATATGCTTGTTTTGCCAATATTTAATATATGTACTCGCAAAATTGTGCTGTAACTTGTTAGTATGCAACTCAAACCAGTTCTGCTCAGCCAAAGCATCAATGTATGATGTTCTATATGTCTTGAGCTACTTGGCCTTGGTGCAGGGAAGCGCGCACCCTTTAACATGCTACTTTTGTTAGGCTCTACCTCCAACAATACTCGACAAAAGAGAACACATAGTCACAACATTACTGTTTCTTCCAAATAAAGAAAAGTCCCAGCCAATTGCCATATTCTTTTAAAAAAGTTCAACCAAAAAAAATGTCCAGCATCCACAACAATATACAAATTAAATAAATAATTTATCAATATCATTTTTGTAAGCACACAGTGGTATAAAAAACATGTAAGATACAATTAGAAAACAATATATCACATGAAACAAGCCACCACTATTATGTACTAAAGCAGATTCCACTTGATTGTCAAAGCAAACCACAAGCTTCACAAGGAAACGATTCTGCTTACAGTTCCTCATATGCTTTCCTTCCTCGGTTCTTCGCTTTGTTTGAGCTAGAAACTGAATAGAAAGCCATGTTAAACAAGTATTCTAAAGGCGCTAATAGTTAAAAAATAGTGTAAGAAGACTAAACCAAGATAGTAAGGAAAGAATTCCAAATTTGATAATGTCAGAAAATGATTATAATACAACAACACAGTTTTGCATGATCATGAGTTCACTAAGAGGATGATTGACCACAATTTACAGTAGGCCATCATCCTCCCTAGTAGCCAATAATTCTAACTCCCTGCAAAAGATGTGCATGAAGCACCTTCATTAAACATCAGTTCAAGGACGCTAGGGGTATACTTGGTACACATCCAAATTTTATTGAATTGAAAAGGTAATAGAAATTCGGAGTTATTATTCATTCTCCAATACTTAGCTTGCTTTGGAATGAAATCTATTCTTTTCAAATTCAAATTTGTCTTTGACGTTTAGTACATGGATTAATATGAAATGTACTATAGTATTAATTTCCATACTGTGTGGAATGACCAGACCCACCCATTCCCATCTCATTAAGGAATGGCAAATCCTATGTCTAGAATCAAGTTTTGAAATGAAATGTAAATTCCATGAATTTTTTAAACAAACAAATGAATGCTCATTCTCATGGAAAAGTGGCATGATTCTAGCATGCCAAACATACTCAAATCATAATCCAAGGAGAGCCCTGGAGGTTAGCTCATCAGATGAACACAATATACTGATGGGTTTTCAATACTTGAATTCAGTCTCCATGTTGAATGTAGATTTCAGCTGATTACATCCAATTATCATAGGTATACAATTGCATTGTCAAAAAAATATAGAAAGGAAACAGTGGCTCTGGCCCTATTAAATTAACATAACTCCACAATATAATTTAAAGTCAAAAACAAAGATAATGCTTGCGATGAAAAGCAACCTACTGCTCCTCAGCAGATATGGTGCAGTTGTTAGAGCTGTGGGAAATCACACAAGGTTCCTGGTCATATCTACAAGTCACAGAACATTTGAACTTGGAGATAGGTAAAACAAAATCCTTCTGTTGTGGTGCATATGAAGAACACCACCTTCTATGAAGCCAGCGGGTTCAAGGAAATCAAGGGTTGATGAAGCTTGATGTTAATCACGCCCCTCTTCCTTGAGAGAATCAACTCTAGAACAAGAAATTTTTGGAGGCTCTTGACCTGACCTATTGAAAAACATTTTCCCCGAGCTTAGCAAATTCCCTTCACTACATCTCAATGTTGTCACAGCTTGCATCCTATGGTATGACTCAAGTGGTGGCACTCGAGATGCACAATCAGAGCAACAAGTTAGACTTTGATCCTTCATCATGAGCTTTTGAGAGGTATAATCAGCATTATCTGATTCGCATCCTAGTTCATTAGATGATAAAGATTTCCAGCGGATTCTACGAGAACAACTGAAGAAATTGATGGACGACCTCTTCAATTTAGCATACTTAGAGTCCGAAGTATTAGAAGGTACATAATTAATTCTAAGCTCGAGGTTACAACCCAAAATGAACTGCAGGGAGCTTGCAATAAGCTTCCATGACTTCTCAGCCCTACTTACATAGCCACGACGGTGGAACTCCAACTCAGCAACCGCACGGCCTGAAAATTGGAGTATTTTCTATTCAATTAATTGGTACATAGTACTCGCACTGTATTAGAGAAGATACATCTCATAAATATAAAAGTATAATTTTTCTTCTCAAAAATCATGAGTAGAATTATGATGACAAAAGAGTATAATATGTCAAACTAGAGAAAAGAGGAGTGCAATATGTGTAATTTACATAAAATACTGGGTCATGATTATCAAAAAGCAGCCAGATTGAATCTCCATTATACTCATGCTTTCATAAATATTATTGCTGGAAAACTATCTGTAATATTGTAAACTGATATTGGAAATTTTCATACTCCCAGGATACCTGCAGCTCCTTCGAGAGAAATCAACTTAAACAATAAGAAGAAAAGTTCTAAACAAAAAATTTTTAGTAAAAAAGGAATGTTACCAACACATTTTTGATAACCTCTTTTTAATATTTATTATGGTAAGAATTTCCATCTAGTTCCCACTAAATAAAATTGTGCAGCTCTCTAGTAGTGGGACCTACATGGGATTTAACCCAATAAAAATATTGAAAAAAAAAGTGTCAAAGATTATTGCAAGCATTTCTTTCAACAAAACACCAACACAAGGAACTGACCATAACAGTGGGAAAAGATTATAGTACATAATGATGCCAGTAAATGTTGATGAATGCAAATTTAGTCCATGTACAAAAAAGAAAGTGTAATAAAGAACAATTTGTACCTTGATTAATACAAATTGAAGACAACTTCCCCTGTTTCCTGAGAAAAGTTTTAAGCCTGCTAGATTGACACATCTCAGTAGCTTTATACCATATAGAATCCAATGTTCCTTTGTGATCCTCATGTACTCCTAATATATATGACTTGTCATCACATTGACCTGTCGTAGCAAGATGCTCCAAGCTGTCCCCTTTAGGGGATGTACTGTAGCTATCACCATCTGTATGCATTTATGGACAGGCTTAGAATGGTTCAACCTGATCAAACCCACACCAATTCCGCCAGCTCCACCCCACAGACCCTAAGGATGATGGGGAATAAAAAAATAACATGAGAAAAAAAAAACCTCTATTTGATGCAGCTCGTGTACACAACTTTGTATTGTTTGTATCCTCAGATGAATATTCTACGGAGCTTAACTGTAGAAGAGCTGCAGTGAACCATGTTGTTTGATTCTTGGAAATTCTCAACTGCTTCTCTGTTTCAGACAGTATTCTTAATGCATGACTTAGTTTCTGTAGGTCTGCTTCCGCTATGGCAGATACAATAACCAAGTCAGACAACAGAAAGCAGCATGGCACTTGCAAGGTGAAACATAAGTATGGACAGCAAACAAAATAACAAGGCCAAAATATTAGGTTAAAGCTAAAATGGATATATTATATTAATTTTAAAGCACTTACAGGTATATCTATTACAAAATTTTCTTCTGATTTCAGAACCACCAAGTTCAGATTTCCCTGCAAGAATGTCCATAATAAGATTTGCCAACTGTGATATAAGTTGTACAGGATCTATCCTTGTACTGACAAGTTCCCTGGCTCTTATAACTGTATTTGAAGTGTCAGATGATAAAGCCAGGTCAAGCAAATCAAGCAATTCATCATCAGAAATGACCCCCATCTGCAGAATAACAAATCAACTAAATGCTATAAAAAATGAAGACAATATCAAGGACATATTTTTAAGAACAAAGCATAACACTTACAAGCTCGTGGACTAAGGAAATAGTAATTTTTTTACCAAGCAAACTCAGTTGATCAAGCATAGTTTCAGCATCCCTAAGAGAACCACAGGATCTAGCAGCAATAAAGTCCAAAGCAACTTGTTCAGATTCAAGGCCTTCTTCAACACAAATTTTTTCCAATCTTCTTGCAATGTCAGCATCTTTAATCTTTGCAAAGTGATACCTCTGGGCTCTGGAAACTGCACTCCGAGGAAGCTTATCCAGATCAGGTGTGATCATCAAAAAAACCACATGTTGAGAAACATTCTCGAGGCTATTCAAAAGACAAGCCCATGTTTCCCCATGCAATAACTGACACTCATCAACAATGAACACCTTAAAACGTGAGGAAACCGGTGGAATGCATGCATGCTTAACAAGAGATTTAACCTTGTCTGCCCGATTGATTCTCAAAGAATCCACTTCCTTAACATTTTTACTTCTTCCAGAAAAGAACAAAACACATTCTCTACACAGATCACAAGGCTTTTGCTCCAAAGGAGAGAGGCAATTCAGTGCAGCAGCAAATATCCTAGAAGCAGAGGTCTTGCCTGTGCCGCGTGGTCCATGGAAGAGATAAAATGATGATATCCTTCCTCTAGAGATAGCACCCAAAAGAGACTTTCCTATCACATTTTGTCCAACCAAATCACTGAAAGATTTTGGCTTGAATTTCATAGATAAACTTCTAGGAGTTTCCAAAGTTGGACTAGTTTCGCCGCCAATATGTCTCATGTTTCTATGTCCACTTAGATCTGTCTCATTAACACGATGCAATATCAAGGGAAGGTCTTCTATTTCAGAATAATGATTTGATTCTCTAAACCTTGGTGACTTTAACCAACAACTCCTTAATCCACATCCAAGGGAATTATCTAAAACATCAACATCTTGAGTGTTAAGTTCTGAGGCGCTACGAGTTGAAAAAGCATCACGAACAGAAAGGCATTGTTGACTTCCTACATGGCTTAAAATATCACCCATCACTTCAGATGGTCTCACTTGATTCTTACGTAGTGATTTTCTTGCTGACTTAGAGTGATCTACCCTTAATGCAGTTGAATAATAGCATGACTCCCCATCCTTCAAATGATCACAAGGAGGCATGATGGAAACCAAATCCAATCCTCTACCTTCATGGTTGCTACAAAAGCTTTCTTTTGGTGATTTACCTTGCTCCTTAGCATCAGCGTAAACTAATCCATCATCTTGGTGACTTTCCTGAAATGAGATCCCAATCCCACAGTAGTTCATCTTAGAGTTCAACGTGTCCATTTCAAACTCAGCAGTGTCCTGCTCTTTTTTATCCTTAAAATCTAAACTATTTGATGAAGAAAGACCATTATCATCACAATCACCAGCACAAGAAGCATTCAGAAACCTCAAACTCAGAGAAACCCCGTTGCTAGAACCATTCTCCCAATCTCCATCATCAATCAAAGGAGAGAGTGTGCTAATACCATTAGTTGATGGATCCCTCAATGACCTTAGTCTCCTCAGTGCCACGAGAGTTTTGGAAATAGGAATGTCAACAGAATGCCTCCTACCATCCATCACTGCCTCACTCTTGCATAACCAGAACCCACGTGAAACAACAGTGCAAACCAACCTAGAAGAGAAACAACAGCCAAAGGACAAATTATAAAAGAAAACAGTTGGCACAAAAAAGAGGAAACAAGGAATAAAATGAAAAACAACCCAATAAAGTAATAAACCACATTATTCCAGAAGATAAGCACAAAATCTCTAGGGGGTCATACTCAACCAAAAGCAAAGTTTAACGAAATAAATAGCACCAATGTTGTTTAAATGTCGATAAAAGCTAACTCGTTTCCAACTGAGTTTTGCAGGACAGTTCTAGCGGGAAATGAGCATCATAAACTGAACAAAAGCAAAGGAAAAAAAAAATACCTTTCATCAGACAAGAACCAAAAGCAACCCCATTAAGGCTTTGAGGTTGGTTGGTTCTTATCTCAACAACAAAATGTACTGTTTCCATTCCGTCAGTATTAGAAAGAAAAAGGACAGGTAAGAAGAAGAGAATCTTCAGTTCAAATTTTAATATTTAATAAACCAAAAAAAAAAATATCTATAGAAGATACTACGATAGATTGACATTAGACACACAATGCGAAACGACAAAGCTGAGAAGACCAAAAGAGAAAAAGAAAAGGAACCTGAGCAAATGAAAACAAGGAAAATCAAAGAAAAATCCCTTGAATGGTGCGGCGTGGAAAAGGGGTTGCTGAAATAATGGCCCTGATGGGGTGATATAATAAACCAACATTGAAGAAGAGAAAGAAGTAGAGGGTAACAGTGGCAAAGTGGTAAAAAACAATGAATGTGAGGGGGTGTTAGGGAGAGCATGGTGATGAGTGAACAAGTGTCAAGTGTGTGGTTCTGACGAGTGAACAGAGAGAGGATTAAAGAGGGAACTTTGGGGTTTCAGAAGCTTGTTTTGTTCCCTTTATGGCAGAGGCAGGTGGTGTGGCAGTGCAATGAGGGGAGTGATCAGTGTTTTGCAGAAAAACGTGGGCATAGGGTGTTTTGTTTTATAATTTAAGTTGAAACAGTTCGGTTAATTTAGTTGAAAGAGAAAAACTGTAACTGTGTTTTCGATATTTCACTTTTAGGAATCTTGTTCCTATTTGTACCAAAAAGGTGGCTTTAGCAAACAGAGTTTACCGAAAACTATGGAGCTAGTAGATTCTCGACAAAATTATACGGACACACAAATAAAAGGGAAACGAAATATCTATCTATGGATTTATCAAAATATATATATAAAACGAATTTTATGGTGGCACGGAGTTTTATTGTTGAATGATTTAAAAGAATGTAGGATGGAATGATATATGAAATGAACTTTATCATTTAAAATTTTTACTATTTAAATTGAAAAAATATTTTAATCAAAAGTAAACATATTCTATCTACCACTAATCCTAATTTGAGATCGCTACAATTTAACTAATAGTATTCCACTTAAAATATGTTTTTAGTTTGTTAAGTTTGAGCAACTGTGATTTGGAGGGACATGTTCGAACAAAATAACTTTTAGTAAAAGGTACGTGATTTATATATATATATATATATATATATATATATGAAGAGGAATC